AAACACAAGGTGACCATAACAATATCTCATCACTCTGAAACAGTTTCATCATCTCCTTAAATATCCTGCTGACAATTTCCAGACCAGTCATTCTAAGACATAGCAGTTTCTTCAGGTTCTTCAAGCTCTTAGAACATCCCTGTGATTCTGTATCCTATCCAGACTTCATAAAATTTCCCACTTCTTCCCCCTCCCACTGCCAGCCATACAATATCATTGAAAATTTTAGATATCCACAACTTTTTGTCTTTAGCATGTGACATACCTACTCTCAGACCAGAATCTGAGCTTAAGCCTTCTCCCCAGTAAAGAATCCCATCTAACTTATTTTGGAATATCTGAAATTCCAGACTTTTTTAAATACTGAAATAAAACTCTGTGTTCTTCATTGATCCTCCAAATCACATTCATATCCTTTCTGTCAGAAGGCCTTTAGTGTTTATAATCACCATTTAACGCTTAACTCTTGTCTATTGGTTTTAGGTAAGTCTTCTAAGATTATAAACACTTTCAGAACATGACAGACTTTTTCTTTTGTATCAAGTACAAGCTTAAGTCAGTTGCTATATCTCTAAATAATTACTAGTTCTTTGAATCATAAAATATATATTTTATACTTTGTGAGATGTGTTTTTGTGAAGTTTTGAAGTCAATATTATTTTGATAATTTCTACTTATACTTAGTTATATATCATTATAACCAGTTTTTGGGTGAATATGATAATGGCAAGGGAGTTACTTGGTTTTCTGATTCATTTACACACCTTCATTTACATATGATTCATGTACAATGTGCATAACATATTGTGTCTATATTGCACATATGCTTGTGTTCCTTTCATTTACCACCACAGTGGTCCAAATATTGTAATAACTATTTACTTTGAGCATATTAACTTATATAATTGTCTTTACAACACCTCAGAATCTTATAGGACTTCAGGTTCATTGTTTGGAACACTATGTTCCTTTGCACAGGATAATTGATGGAGCAAGTCCATAGACTCAACTGAATGGGGTCAACACCCTTTACAGAAACTTATTAGCTTCCCAATATGTCTTAAAAACATACAATTCATTCATTTAACAAATACCGAGTTTCTGCTATGTTGCAATAACTATAAAAGGTACGAAGGACACAATGTAAATGGGGGCATAGTCTCTGCAACCAAGGAGGTTGTAGCCTGTACCTATAAGATTGAGAGTAGGCAATAGAAATGTGGTGTGAAGCAGGCTGCAAAAGCAAGGTTATCCAGAGCACCTTTGCATCACAGAGGAGAGTTGTGTGACCCACTCTGAGAAATCTAGGCTAGAAATACAGAATCCCAGGTCAAATTTAGATATAACCACTCATACTGTCACAAATTAGTACCAATTTGAGCCCATTTTTTTTTTTACAGCTAACTTAGAATCTGTGGTTCTTTAAATTCAGTTAAACTAATATTTCTGAATCATAGATTTCCAACTAGATTATATACAGTCTTCTAGGCACTGTTGTTGTGTTAAGAGATGGAGGAAGACAGTAAAGGACCTCCCAAACTGAGAAGGCACTTTGAGACCAGAAGACAAAGGAGGCCACTCCATAACAGTTTACAGGGAGTTTTATTCAGGGTAACTTTCTGATGGGGCGATGGAGTGGAGGATGGTCTATCCACAGCAACTACATAGCAATTCTCTGCAAAATCTGGACCTTAGTCCACAGATTTTATAGAGCGAGGGGACATGCAGGAGGGCATTGTAGTGAGATCAAAGGGTTCACACACACCACAAAAAGCTTTCATGCACCTAATTGATAGCTACCCTTCAATTAGATCTTGTGACACAACCTGTGCATCAGGAAGAGGAAAGACTGTGTCATAACAGACTCATGGAAGGTCAAAACAAGCTTTCCCCCATACTGGCCTTGGCAGGCATTTCTAAGGCATGTATATTAATTTCTAAGAAGACTAGAACAGGTCACCCCAAGAGAGGTCACAGAGGAAACATGAACAAAGTGGAGGGCCAGTGCTGCAGTTAGTATTGTCAGCACTGCTACATGCTGATACTAAGAATAGTAAGACAAAGCTTTACCTTTTGGATTTTTAAATATTCGCTGTAGTGGACCATCTCTAATTTGTGGGAGGACTTGCTTTTGAAAAATAAATAAATGGCAGCCAGAACTTCATCTGACAAAAAGAATGAGTGATCAATATGCATCATATTATATTTGGCCAAAAATTATATGTGATTATAAAGTGATGAGGTTAATATTCAGCCATGCTTTGTAAATTAATTTTTAGCAACACCAAAAATGGTATGTCAAAATTTTTTGAAAAGTGGAAACACCTTAAATAATAAATTATTTCTTACTTTGATATATAAGATTTGATCTGAGAATCATTTTTTATTATGTGTTTGTAGGCCCTGCCATGTCCCTTTTTCCCTCTTTCATCTTCTTGAGAGCTCATTTAATAGCATTGGAATTACTCCCAGGTTTTAAAATAAGAACCACAAAGCCAGCTCTACCAGAAAAATGTGTTCTGATGAAATCGAACCAATGGAATAATGTTGGTACTTGTTGAGTAAAAAATACAAACCAATCTGAGTTTATAATATACTTAACTCCCAGGAAGGAATCCAAAGAGCTGAAAAGTTTTGTCATATTGCAAATGTTTTGCCCAAAGAGAATTATTTGAGTGAATTTGCTTTGGAAGCCTTTCCTTTCAGTACTTTTATTTGGTCTATGTTAAGTCTACTGCCTTTACTAATTTAAGAAAAAAAACAAACAAACAAACAAAAACACATAAAAAGGAATCAAAACCATCGTAAGATTGAATCTAATTCAATTTAAAGTTTCCCCATTGAGGAAAACAACAGTAACAGCTACACACAGATACACACACACAAACACAAACACACAAACTTTTTAGATTGTCTAAACTATATTTGATTTTATGTGCAAGTTATTGTGAATATGTCATTCTTTGATTCTAAATGGTTTCCTCAGTGCTCTGTTTATAATTCTGTTTGGGAAACTAAACTCTCTAAAGCAACTTGTATTGTCCTTCATAAATAATAACTTGAAAGTTAAGAAAAATTAGCCTTGCCAAAGAGAAAAGCACCATTAAATATGAACTATAAATATTAGAAAGGTAACCCAGCCAAATTATTCTAAAATTGCATTATAATCAGGAGGTCTGTTTGAAAGGATTGTAAAATATACATTTCATGAAATTAAAATATTTTTTTATTATCAATTATTTATGGCAATCAAATAAGAGTCTACCTGACCATCTTCTTTAACATTGCTTTTCTAACCTCTAATCTCCCTCTTACCACTATAAACAAATACAATCAAACTAAGCCACTAAATTGGGAATTTAATGATTTAATTTTAATAAAACTGGGAAATTGAAAGAACCCTTAAAAATGTCTTTTAAGGGGCACCTGGGAAGCCCAGTGGGTTAAAGCCTCTGCCTTTGGCTCAGGTCATGATCCTGGCGTCCTGGGATCGAGCCCCACATTGGGCTCTCTGCTCAGCGGGGAGCCTACTTCCTCCTCTCTCTGCTTGCCTCTCTACCTACTTGTGATCTCTGTCTGTCAAATAAATAAATAAAATATTTTAAAAAAAGTCTTTTAAAATATCTTAATTCAAAGATATATGCCAATATACAAACAATTTTCTGTTCCCTCATCTGCTTAGTTTTATTCACAGAGCCAAACATAAATTCATTGGGAATTAGTGATACTTAATCTTCATATTGTTGTTAAGATTGTAGACAGTTTGAAAAATAATTCATTACCGTGGCTTTCCAAACATAATTCTTGAAAATGTGGATTTGCAAGGATCATCAGGAAGTGACAGAGTTGATGATATATAATCTATCCTTGGACCTATGCTTCCCTGCCTTACTAGCCTAATGCTGAATGGGGAGGCTGGAGTTTCAAACTACAACATAGAAACAAAAAGAAGAGAATTTAAGTAAAAGAATTCAGTTTAAAGATATTAGCCTGATGGATTTAGCACTGTGTCAGATATGGTGGGACTAATGATGATCTCATCTTGATTTCTGGATCAGTAGCAGTGATAGATAAAAGCATGGTCCCTGAAGGCACTCAACTGGTTCTCAAATCATGGGTCACCTTTCCTATTGAGTGATCTTTCCTATGACTTAGTTTTCTCGTACATAAAAATTACTAATAAAAGCCACTTACTGTGGGAAAATGCAGTGATAAAAATATTCACATAATCTGACACAAACCAAAAAAATAAAGTAAAAAAGACAGGAGAGGGTGGCTAAATAGCATAAAAAAAAAAAAAAAACTGGTAGATATAAACCCATACAGAAAAATATTCTGTACTAAATGTTTCATTTAAAAGACTACATTTAAAGTTTAAAAAATCCAGCTTTGAGTTGTTTACAAAAGGTGCATGGAAAAAAACTGATATAAAAATAAAAGAAGTAAGTTGAGAGAAAAACACTTTACAAACCGTATTCAAAAGAAAGATTCTAACCTCTAATCAAAAGATTAGAGGTTAGAAGAGGAGTTCCAAATGATAAAGATATACCAGGAGGGTATAGCCATTTACAATTTATATACACGAATAACATAGCCACAAAATGTAGAAAGCAAAAAATAACAGATCTATGAAAAGAAATAATAAACTGAACAATTATAATGGGAGATTTGAACCATGCTTTTAATATTTTATAGAACAAGATGGAAAAGTCAATATAATATGAGCATAAAATATAAGAAAATTAATATTACTAGTGAAGAGTTCCCTCAGAAATTTCTTATGCAGTAATTAATTTCTGTGAAAAAGAAATTATTTTATTACATACCAGAATATGGTATCTTCTTCTATTTGAGATTATGATATAAAAGCATCAAAACTCAGCTCTGTCACACATTAGACATGATGCGAATTTGATAACATTGCCAAGCTTAGAATAGCTATGTATCATTCAATAAAATTAATTTACAAGGTCTGAAAGTAAAATTTTTTGAGACCTCACCTCTGTCATCCTTTCCCCTCTTGTTCATTCTGGGAACATTGTGTTCAACTTTCCTGTATGTTAGTAACTTGATAGAATCAGACCCATTTTAGCTTAGCACAATCTTTAATAAAAGAACATTTATTATTGCTTCCCACACTGCTTCTTAAGGCAAGATTCCATCAATAATGAACTATTCCATTTTCCTGTTTTCAGCTTTATTAGTTTCCAGCCAAAACTTAATCAAGATTTAAGGTCAATGAAAAGAGTCAGTCTAACCCTTGAGGGAGTAAGAGCAAAAGATAAATGTGACTTGGAAAGATTCTTATCACTGCCATTAGAACTATAGAAATAAAATAAGAGCTAGATGTTTAAAGACTTTAACATTTCAATAGCCTGGCTTGCTTATAATTTGGAAAAGTAAACCCAGCTAGGGCCAGTCAATGCAATTACAAATAAAAAGGAAAACTTGATTGTTTTTCCATGCATGAAAACATTAAGAAAATTAGTCTTTCCCCTTTTGTCCAAGTACTGACTGTAATTATAGATAGCAGGGATTCTTAGTTACTATAAAATATGGGAGTGCTTTTATACTGCTCCTAACTATATAGCTGATTATTGAAGGAGCATAAGAAGACTGTGGTTTAATGAGTGCAGTTTTGAAAACCAATAGGGGGGAATGCCATTACTGCATAATATTACAGCTCTTTCATCATTAACTTGAAAACACAGCTAAAGAGGAACATGTCTAAACTAGTCCAGCTACCATTCTATTATTAATTTCCCATGACTTGTTCTATCACTCCCTGCTCTTTCATAAAAAGAGGGAAATGCAGATATTTAATGCTGTAGCTTAGAAAGTGTTTAGATTACTATTTTCCTGCAACATGGTTCAGAATTTTCTCAGCTGGGTAGGAAAAAGAGAACCTCTTGCTTTACATTAGAATATTTTTAGAAACAGAATGGAAATTTGAGAACAGAAGTGGATAACAGATATCAAAAGAAAAGAAATGTTCTGAGTCTGAAAACATACATTGAAATTTTAGTCAGAAGGAAAATTAAAAAAAAATCATGAATTGCATTAGGGACCATTCAGATAACTTTGCTGTATTCTTAGTGATTATTATTATTGGTTTTACAACAGTCTTCTGTAATATTGAACACACAGGACTCAACAGAATATTATCAGATAACAACTTCCCTTCTATAATCCCCTTTTTTTAAAATTTTTAAAATTTTTTATTTAAATTCAATTTAGTTGACATATAGTGCATTATTAGTTTCAGGGTTAGAATTTAGTGATTCATCAGTTGCACATAACATCCAGTGCTCATTACATCTAGTGCCCTCCTTAATGCCCATCATCCTATTACCCCATCTCCCACCTACCTCCCTTCCAGCAACTCTCAGTTTTTTCCCCATAGTTAAGAGTCTCTTATGATTTGACTCCCTCTCTGTTTTTATCTTATTTTATTTTTCCTTCCCTTCCCCTATGTTCATCTGTTTTGTTTCTTAAATTCCACATATGAGTGAAATCGTATGGTATTTTTCTTTCTCTGATTTATTTTGCTTAGCATAATTATCCTCTAGTTCCATCCAGTTGTTGCAAATGGCAAGGTTTCTTTCTTTTTATGGCTTATATTCCATTATATATAAATATAAACATATATATATATATATATATGTCTATATATATATATGCACACACACACATATTCATACATACATACACACAATATCTTCTTTATCCATTCATCTGTGGATGGACATCTGAGCTCTTTTTGTATTTTGGCTATTGTAGACATTGCTGCTATAAACATTGGGGTGCAGGTGCCCCTTTGAATCACTATTTTTGTATTCTATGGATAAATACCTAGTAGTGCAATTGCTGGGTCATAGGGTTGTTCAATTTTTTACTTTTTGTGGAAACTCCATACTGTTTTCCAGAGTGGTTGCACCAGTTTGCATTCCAACCAACAGTGTAAGAGGATTCCCCTTTCTCCACATTTCACCAATATTTATTTCCTGTCTTGTTAATTTTAGCCATTCTGACTGGTGTAAAGTGGTATCTCATTGTGGTTTTGATTTGTATTTCCCTGATGCCCAGTGATGTTGAGCATTTTTTCACATGTCTCTTAGCCATTTGTGTGTCTTCTTTGGAGAATTGTTAGTTCATGTCTTTTGCCCATTTCTGGACTGGATTTTTTGTTTTGGGTGTTGAGTTTGATAAGTTCCTTATAGATTTTGGATACTAGCTCTTTATCAGAGATGTCATTTGTGAATGCCTTCTCCTATTCCATAGGTTGTCTTATAGTTTGTTGATCGTTTCCTTTGCTGTGCAAAAGCTTTTTATCCTAATGAAGTCTCAATAGTTAATTCTTGCTTTTGTTTCCCTTGCCTTTGGAGACATGTCTAGCTGAGGTCAAAGAGGTTGCTGCCTGTGTTCTTTAGGATTTTGGTGGATTCCTATGTCACATTTAGGTCTTTCGTCCATTTCGAGTCTATTTTTTGTGTATGGTGTAAAAAAGTGGTTTCATTCTTCTGCATGTGGCTGTCCAATTTTCCCAACACCATTTGTTGAAGAGACTGTCTTTTTCCCATTGGATATTGTTTCTCACTTTGCCAAAGATTAGTTGATCATTGGGGTACTTGGGTGTTTCTGTTGGTTAAGTGTCTGCTTTCAGCTCAGGTCATGATACCAGGGTCCTGGTATTGAGCCCCTCATTGCTCCCTGCTCAGCAACAAACACACCTTCTTCTCCTTCTCTCTCTGTCACTCTTCCTGCTTGTACTCTCTCTCCTTCCTTTTCTCCTTCCTCTAATAAATAAATAAATAAAATCTGGGGGAAAAAAAAAAAAAAAGATTAGTTGACCATAGAGTTGAGGGGTTGAGGGTCCATTTCTGGGTTCTCTATTTTGTTCCATTGGTCTATGTGTCTGTTTTTGTGCCAGTACCATACTGTCCTAATGATTATAGGTTTACACTACAGCTTGAAGTCCAAAATTTTGATGCCTCTAGCCCTGGTTTTCTTTTTCAACATTACTTTGGTTATTTGGAGTCTTTTCTGGTTCCATACAAATTTTAAAATTGTTTTTTCCAGTTCTGTGAAAAATTCTGGTGGTATTTTGATAGGGATTGTATTGAATGTGTAGAATGCTTTGGATAGCATATGAATTTTAACAATATTTTTTTCTTCCAATCCATGAGCATGAAATATTTTTCCATTTCTGTGTGTCTTCCTCAATTTCTTTCCTAAGTGTTCTATAGTTTTCAGAATACAGATCTTTTACCTGTTTGGTTAGGTTTACTGTTCCTAGGTACCTTATGGTTTTTGGTACAATTGTTAATGGGATCAATTCCTTCGTTTTGCTTTCTGCTGCTTCATTGTTTGTGTATAGAAATGCAACAGATGTCTCTGCATTTCCTGTGACTTTGCTGAATTCATGTATTAGTTCCAGCAATTTTTTGGTGCAATCTTTCAGGTTTTCTGTATAGAGTATTATGTTGTCTGTGAAGAGTGAAAGTTTGACTTCACTTTGCCAATTTAAATGCTTTTATTTCTTTTTGTTGACTGATTGCTGAGTCTGGGGTTCCCAGTACTATGTTTGAAAAACAGTGGTGAGAGTGGACATCCCTGTCGTGTTCCTGACCTTAGGAGAAAAGCTTTTAGTTTTCCCCACTGATGATGATATTTGCTGTGGGTCTTCTGTATATGGCCTTTATGATGTTGAGGTACATTCCCTCTACTCCTAGATGGTAGAAGCTTTTTATCAAGAAAGGATACTGTATTTTGTCAAATGCATTTTCTGTATCTATTGAGAGAATCATGTTGTTCTTATCCTTTCTTTTATTTTTGTGGTGTATTACATTAATTGATTTGTGAATGTTGAACCACCCTGATAGCCCAGGAATACATCCCACTTGGTCATGGTCAATAATCCTTTTAATGTGCTGTTCGATCCTATTAGCTAGTATCTTATTGAGAATGTTTGCATCCTTTGCATCCATGTTCATCAAGGATATTGGTCTGTAATTCACCTTTTTAGTGAGGTCTTTGTCTCATTTGGGGATCAAGATAATGGTGGCCTCATAGAATGAGTTTGGAAGTTTTCTTTCCATTTCTATTTTTTGGAACATTTTCAAAAGAATACATATTAATTCTCCTTTATTTTTTTAAAAGATTTTATTTCTTTGACAGGCAGAGATCACAAGTAGGCAGAGAGGCAGGCAGAGATTGAGAGAGGAGGAAGCAGGCTCCCTGCTAAGCAGAGAGCCCAAAGTGGGGCTCGATCCCAGGACCCTGGGATCATGACCTGAGCTGAAGGCAGAGGCTTTAACCCACTGAGCCACCGAGGTGCCCTAATTCTTCTTTAAATGTTTGGTAGAATTTCCTGGAAAGCCATCTTGCCCTAGACTTTTGTTTCTTGGGAGATTTTTGGTTACTGATTCAATTTCTTTGCTGGTTTTGGGTCTGTTCAGGTTTTCTATTCTTCTTTTTTCAGTTTTGCTAATTTATATGTTTCTAGAAATGCATCCATTTCTTCCAGACTGACTAATTTGTTTGCACATAATTGCTCATAGTATTCTTTTATAATTGTTTGTATTTCATTTGTGATTTAACTTAATTTAATTAATTTATTTATTTGGATCCTTTTCTTTTTGAAAAGTCTGACTAGGAGTTGTTAATTCTTTCAAAGAACCAGCTCCTAGTTTTATTGATCTGTTCTACTGTATTTTTCTTTTGTTTTTCTTTGTTTTTTAATTTTTCTGTCATTAATTTCTGCTCTAATCATTACTATTTCTTTTCTCCTGCTGGATTTTGCCTTCATTTGCCGTACTTTTTCCAGCTCCTTTAGGTGTAAGGTTAAATTGTATATTTGAGACTTTTCTGGCTTCTTGAGAAAGACCTGAATTGCTATTTACTTCCCTTTTAGAACTGCCTTTGCTGCATCCCAAAGGTTTTTGAACTGTCATGTTTTCATTTTCATTTGCTTTCATGTATTTTTAAAAATTCTTCTTTAATTTCCTGGCTGACCCATTCATTCTTTAGGAAGT